ATATATGTGTGTGTATATAATATTAACATATTATGAAGGGCAATTAGTTAAAAGGGACCCATGTACATTTTCAACTACTTTTCGGGTGAAACAAATAGTATATTGTGTGGCAAGGGCGGGAAGTAAGCCATTTCAGTCGCGGGCGTCGTTCGCACAAGACTGAAATGGCCTTCCCGCGCGAGCCACACATACTATTTTTTGTCACTCCCCTGCGTTCATGGAAAAGGTTATGCAGGGATCTATGCGTCATGCAAGGAGGTTATACTATACATTTAAGATGTAACCAAAAGTTTATGTTTTGTAAGAAACAATGATTTAACTAATAATAATGATTTTACTTTCTGGTTGTGCAGGGGATACGCGCCCGGCGGCCGGCACTTTTGGGGATTTCCTCTTTTCCGCCCGGCACTTTTGGGGATTTCCTCTTTTCCGCCCGGCACTTTGGGGATTTCCACTTTACCGCCCGCTGGACGGAAAAAGGACGCTTTCGAACGCTTCAACCGTGGTCGAAAACCAAACTTTCGGTGCAGGCGTGACAAAAAAAACAATTTTCCTTTCTTTCTATTTGCTTAATAGGATCAATCATCACAAATTAGATTAAATAGTATTGTATAAAAAATAAATAGCAAAAACAAAATTATTTCAAAAAAAATTGTACTTTTATAAATAACAAATTTTTGTAATGTGACATAGGTACCTTTAATCAAATTCTAATAATTTTATTAATTTAAGGTATCATAATTTAACATAACTATTTAACTATAAACTATATATTTTTGCACATTCAAAATTGGCCCTCCAGTAGAATTGAGTTGCCCATCTCTGGTATAGGTAATCTTTAGGATTTATGGCATAGAACTATAGAAAGTCGGATGAGCTAAAATTGACAAATATTTAAATATGCAATCAAATGCATAAATCCATAAAACCTTTAAGTTACAGTATATATTTACCGTCGAAGGTATAAAACATAGATACCTATATAATAGCAAAAAATTATTAATACTATCAAAAATTCATAACTTAAAACAAATAAAATCACTACCTAATACATATAGCAAAAAAATAATGATATGATTTTTTAACCTATATAACATTATAATATTATACCTATATTCATTATATAGGTAGTATACATAATATAACGCAAATGCATAAAAATTCAGTCAAATTGAATCACAGATAATTGAGTGAAGTAAAAATATTGCGATATTTGTTATAAGCGTGAATCTGTGTAAAAATAATATAATAATAAAAATACTAAAAGGTGCGTACGTATCTCATTGTTGCTGGCTGAAAATAAATAAACATTCAAACAAGATAACCACGGATACTAGCAGGTCATCGGTATATCGACGCTGAATAATAAACAAATTTAATTATTAATTTAGCTAAAAAAACGGTGTGCACTATATTTAACAATTTTTCTTTTTGGAATTATTTCGCGTCGATTTATATAGTATTTCCAAAATAAACTACAACCGAAAGCGATCACGTTATGATGGAGGTGATACTCATATATCAGAAAACTGTCAAATATCCAGGAAGTCGTATAAGGTAAGACTAAATAATAACGAAATTATTAAATCCGGCGATATTGATCATTGTACAAATGATAGACCTATATGGCTAAATCTCACTATCTCTTTCCATAATCCAAAATATTTGAAAAACCATTAAAAAGACGTTTGGTTGATTTTTTTGAATATACATAACTTTTTAAACCAATTTGGATTTTGGAAAAATAAATCAACAACATTTTCACTGTTATTAGCTTCGAATTTTATTCATTCTAGTAGATGTTGACAATGACAATAATTAGGTAGATAATTTTTTTGTATTCAGATTAAAAAAATGCTTTACATAAAAAAATATTAAAACATTAATGTGGTATTATTTTTATTGCTCAAGATATGTTTATTTCATATTATTTTTCAAATAGATTGTGCAAGTAGTTAAAATTGAAGTAATGCAAACTTGTGAAACTCGAGGAACTTGTTATTTCTTATTTACATAAAATATAGTGTTATATTAATAATAATATTTCAGGAGATATTTGTTTTGCTGACGATACGTTATTTATAAATTATAGTTTAAATTGAACATAAAATAAATTGATGAATATTGTATTATTTAGTGAATCAATGTACCTATTTATAATATAACAACTTTGTTACATAAACATTTTCTAGAAGTGAATATAAAAAAATCTAAGTATATGTTTTTTAGTATAAATTAGTAAAAAATTTGATTAAAAAATATTACCGTACATAATTTCAGATGCTTGAATAATTTATAAATTTATAAATTACTGTTTTTAATGTGAAAAAGTTACTAAATTAAAATATTTAGGTACCTATTTGTTTTTGATCAAAACCTTAAATGGGTATAAGATAGGTACTTATTATGCGTTTGTAATTTAATTAGAAAACTATTTTATAAATCCAAAGTATAATCCGAGTACAAATGTAAAATAATAATTTATAGTTTATCATTTATATAATACTAGGCATAAAATGAAATTAATCATCAGATATACATTTATTCAACAGGGTATTGTAAATATTTTTAATTAGATTTAAGAAAATTTGGTGCTAATTCGGTATGCGCTCTACCGGCAAGTTTCTGTTTCTGTATGCGCTCTACCGAAAAGTGTCGTGAGTCGGTACTTACTCTACGGTCTACATAGGTTGTTTTAACTCGGTTTTATTTTATATTTATATTTGTTAAATTTTTTTGTATTATTTTATTGATGACTCTTTGCAGACAAGTATCTGAGTCGGTTATATTATATTTTATATTTATTGATGATTCTTTACAGACAAGTGTCTGAGTCGGTTATTTTCTATTTTATTAAGAGATAAAACCAACGAGAGAACACAGATAATGTTGTTACCTAAAAGTTTGATAATAGGTCGATACACTCTAATATCAAAAATGACAATACCCTATTAAAACTAGCAAACGAAAATTTGCTACCTATGTCGTACATGTGTAAGACGGAGACAACCAGTGGCGCACAGCGATATTTTGAGAGCACATACAACTAACAAAAGTTACCCACCCACCCACCCATTTTTTTATTTAAAAAAACGTTCTTTTGAACTGTTATTTGTAACTGTAATTAACTTAAAATTCCTATACTTTATCTATGTACCTATAACCATAGGCGTCTATACCTACTCACCCACCCACCCACCCACCCCCCATGAGAGCACATGCAGTTGCACCCCTTGCTAACCTGTCTGGGCGCCACTGGAGACAACACATCCGGGTGAGACGTCCTCTTAATGATTCTTTACAGACAAGTGTCTGAGTCGGTATGATCTACAGTCGTCAGTCGTCATACGTTATTTATAAATAATACACGAAATACCAAAAATATTAAATATTTAAATATTCTTAAAACTTAGAAGTCCCAGATAAAGAAAAAAAATTGTTTTCGTGTATGCAGCGGTATTTACAAATAAACAAATAACATTATCTCCCCCGACGGGACCCACCTTGCCGTGGTGGGGGGGCTCAGGGGCCAATCACTGGTCCTTGCCAAGAGGTTCCACCCTAGAGCCAGCCATGACCTTGATTGGTTGTGGCTGGCAGGCCCGATCCACCTGCATACACTTGCAAACGGATCCCTGCCAGTAGGTAAAATGGACGGAAGGAAAACCGCAAAACCACAATATGAATAGTAAAAGGAAAAGTATTGTTACAACTCCAGGGGGACAGGACCACCAGGAGTCGTTGGTAGTAGGTGGACCTGGTGTAAAAATCAGGTCCAACGGAGCGGGCTTACTACTTTCGTTACCAGTCAACCGTTACCAATCGGATGAAGGGGTGTCCAGCATGGCCCCGGATTCCGACAATAATGCTTCTGCTGAGACAGACGTGCCTCCGGGTACGCACCAAAGAGATATGACGTCATGTATTATACATCATAGAGTATGAGAAAAATTATGCCTGAAAGTCGAAGACACTATATTAATAAAAAACAATTTGGACTTATTTAAGGCCCATGATACCGGTGAGAACGTAGCTGTAGCTACCAATCTGACCTTACCTGACTGCAAGCGAAAACGATCATCTTATGAAGGTGATAACCACAATAGAAAATTTTCTCGAACCTCAAGAGCCGCACTCGATATCCATCATGTCATCGGTAAGTTCCTAATACACATCAACGACCCTAGACATAGTAACAAAATATACAAATATCTATACAGTCGACGACATCAGTGCTTAACTATTTTAGAGCCTAACCAAAGCTATGATTGTATTGATTTTACAATGGTGTACCTATGCTGTGTTGAGAATAGATAAAAAAAATATTTAATATAGATAAGACACAAATAATTATATATATATATTTATTAAGATTTCTAGATTCAGACCAGATATAGGTAATACGGTAGATAAAACTAATTTTTATTATATTTAAATAACTAATTTACTTATTTACCTAACTTATTTTGTTGTAATTAAATATTATATTATTCTCGAGTACTTGAAACTGAAATTTTTAAGTATATTATTAAATTGTATATACACAATAACATTTTAAAATGCACATTTTCACCAATAATTAATTTTACCTACTGTATTACCACTATAATGTCCAATAATTAAATAATTTACATTAACCACAATAAAATCATAAAATATACTTAGTAATTGATATATCATACATAATCTGACAGACCGTCAATTTTGTTAATTCTACTAAAATCAAAACAGCTCTTCTTTCATTTCTTAATAACTGCATTGCCAATATCATATCTAGACACCAGGTCGAACGATAATGTGTCAAATAGTAATGACAAGACAACTATTGTTCAAACGGTTGAAAAGTTTAATGTCTCAAACTCTAGAAAAAGTGTACCTCCTGAGGATAGAGAAAAAAAGATTAGAAAAGTAACAGAGGACAATTATTATTTCATTCGGTATTTATTAATATTTTATAATTTTTACATTGAAAGTATGGAAAACCTCCCATTAAAGGATCGATGTACGCACTCGACGTGCCGGAAGACGGTAATGTCAGTTCGGCTCTTTACGTAAAAAAAGTAATAAAAGTCAATATTAATATTTCTTTTAGTATTCATTAATATGTCGTAATTATTACAGGGAAAGTATGGAAAACCGCCCATAAAAAGAACGACGTATATACACGATTTCAAAGAAGACAGTAATGTCCCCTGTTCACTGCCAGCTAGAGCTGCAGGGATAAAAAGGAAAAGGGTACAAACTGATGCTGGCGCCAGTACATTTAAAAAAGTAATAAAGATAAATTATTATTTCTTTCAGTATATGTATTTATTAATATATATTGTAATTTTAACAGGAAAAGCATGAAAAACTTTCCATTGCGGGTTCAACGTATCAACGTGATGTTGCGGAAGACGGTAATGTCTCTCCTTACTTCTCGCCACCCCCTCCCCAACACATCATCCAATAATAGAGGTAGTGTACGGTGGGCCGGTGGGACACTGCTATATCTTCGAGGAGAAATCCAAATTATTTAAGCAAAGTGCTGCACTTAACGATGAACTGAGTGTGAACGGGATATGATCCGGTGTGTTTAATTTTGATCCATTGCATGTTGTATATGTTTATATTTATGTTCTTTTGAGTGTATTAATCAAACATAGTGTGTATAGATACCAAGTACCCATAGTTCCTACCTACTCAGAGAGCAGATTACGAATGGAAAATTAAAAATAAATAAATACCGATTTTGAATCAATTACGACTAGTGAATAACCAGTGAATGATATTTACGTATGATATGTACTAGTGAATGATATTTAAGTTACACTTTTATGATTTTAATAATTTATATAGCCATATTTTTAGCGATAACATATAAACACGTCTCAAATAAGTGTAGGTATATCATAAATCGGTTAGTTTATATTATTTATAAGCAAAACCATATAATATAAAAATACACATAGGCAGTACGTATATATATATATACGTTATGTATAACGTCATTGCTCTTGTAGACACATCTTTTGAAAATGTATATTATGTTATGTGGCAGTATTCAATGCTCGTCAATAATATTATGTGGATTTATTAAATCATGATTTTAATTTACAGAATAATAATATTCTCAATTTCACATTAAAAATAATGTTGATAATTATTTAAATTAATTATTATTTATTTATTTATTTTATTTTATTTCATTTTATAAATACATATGAAAACTGGGCCGCACAGAGAAAATTTGGGTTATAATGTTATATATTAAAAATTTAAATGTTTTCATCCTGTTTTACTATGCTGAACTTAACTTTTTTGGCTTACTATAACCAATCTTAGTAGTTAGTAATTTAAAATTATTAAATTATTAAAATTATTAAATTATTAAAATTATTAAAATTATTATTAAATTAAATTTTAGTTCTGGAAAATATGATCGGACCTGTGGCATCAGATTTACCATCTAGAGTTGTGAACGATGATATCAAAATATGTAAGAGGAGTAGAACACTGGAAAAGAATGTAAAATTTAAATTATTATTTTATTTTAATATAACATGACGTCTTATATTTCTATAATTGACATTGTAGAGTACAATTCAAACTCCAGTACGATATCCGGCTGTAATAAAATTTGGAAAATTTGAAGTGGAGACATGTTATTCGTGTACATTCCCGCAGGAGGAGAATGCTGCGAGATTAATATTTTGTGAATTTTGTTTAAAATACACTAAATGTCAATCGATTTTGGAAAGACATATGCGACACTGTTATTGGAGAACACCGCCGGGGACAGAAATCTACCAAAGTGGAGATTTAAGCATTTTTGAAGTAAATTAATTTTACGAAACAATTCATAATAGATAAACTACCAATACAATTTTTTATTTATTTTTCCAAACAGGTTGATGGAAAAGTAGACAAAACGTATTGCCAAACACTATGTCGATTGGGAAAACTATTTTTGGACCTAAAAACTCTGGACTATGGCGTTGAACCGTTCTTATTTTATATTGTGACGAAAAACGACGGTTTTGTACGTGTACCTATATAAATTAATTTTAAATTGTAATTTTCGAAGTGAAAACCCCTCTAGGCAGGGTCTGCCCTCCGCTCGAATCATGTGACTAAACGCGTAAAAGAATTATTGAGTGACACTAACAAAATATGTAACGCTGTCAATCCAAATTATCTTAATTCTATACATTATATATATTTATGTGTATGTCCGCGAGCCCAATTATAAGTCCACCCATTATATAAATTTAAATTTAAATTTTAGTACAATTGTACTAATCGGCCAATAGTTAAAATTTATTAGTAGAAGTTTTCAATTCTGTCTACCGTCGCAAGACGGTAATTCAATTTTTATTTATTTTTATAGTTGTCTACCATAGTTATATTGTAATAATGTTCAATTAAAAATGTTAAGGGCTGTCATTTGGTTGGTTATTTTTCGAAACTAAAACGAAATGAAGACAATGAAGAAAATTTTAATTTAGCTTGTATCGTCATCATGCCACAGTATCGAAGACAAGGGTATGGACGAATTCTCATCGAATTCAGTAAGTGAAAACTTCATGCGTTTTAGCATATATCACGTCTAGTTTATCTTTTCAGGTTATCTTCTATCCAAAATTGAAAAACAACCGGGAACTCCGGAAAAACCTCTTTCCGGCTTGGGTAAAATTACATACAGTGCATATTGGAAAGGTGTTATTCTTGAATATTTAGATAAACACAGAGACATTGACAACATATGCATTAACGATGTTAGCAGTGAAACTGGTAATTTAAAAAAAAACATTTAATTTGAAACTTTTTAATCAGAATTTTGTGAGTCAATCATAAAATTAATAAAAATTTTAATTTAGGTTTACTGAGAGAAGATATTATAGACACTTTCCAGTCGCTCAACATGGTTGTGGAAGTCTATAAAGAAACGACAATATGTATAGACTGGAACGCTGTAGACATTTATATAAAGAGGAAAATTAGATTAAAACAAATTCATATTGACCCAGATCGGTTGAGATGGTCACCACCAAACAAGCCATCGAGTTCACTATGTTCACCTGCAGCTGATGGCCAAGTTAGTTTTTCTTGACAACAAAAAATAACGTTTTGAAATTGTTATTAAATATTTTTTTTTTAGTATATTTACATCTTGAAGAACCTCTGAAGTGTGTTCCAAGGGTAGTGGGTCGCTAACCCTATAGTATACTTGCACCGGATACGACGTCACCGATTACGGGTGGCTGTGCACATAATCAGACTTGGCTCGCTGCTGTCCACCATCAACTGCGAGCTGTTTCCGTCCAACACCCGGTCCATGTAGCCAACTAGGTCAACACTATCAAGCTCACCGTCACGATGCTCCTGAAATTCAAGATTTATGGTCGACGACGGTGGCATGTACCGCAACTATCTGATATCGTCGCCGTTCGGCCTCACTTTCATAGTCATCTGCTTCCTGTGGCTTCCCGAAACCAAGGGCAAGACGGTATCTGCCGTACAGACCCAGCTCAGGAAGACCGACGATTTGGTCAGTACGAAGGCACGCGATCGCGTTAAACTGCTGCTGGTGGAGGCGGATGTGGGTGCATGGCAATGATCTTTCGATTTGTACGAGTACCAGTCGAGCACCAATACAATAATTTTACGACTTTGGACTCGCGTCTAGTGTGCAGAACGTTACACAAACATATTATACATATAATATACAATACAATATTATAATAGAAGTGGTGGGACGATCTACAGCAGGAGAAGGACTCGCTCTGAGCTTATATTTTTTGAGACTGGTGCATTCGTCCGAAAATACTGCAGTCGTCGTTTGTCAGGAATATCACTTATTTGTCATTAAGACTCAACGGGTAACAGGAATTTTTTTGTGGAAGCACTGTGTGTTTATCGATTTTGGTATACAAACAAAGTATTCAAGTTTTCAAAAAAGTCAACATAGATTGTAAGCCATTATTTTTCTTCAATACTATATATTATCATTGTTTATAGTTGCATATATTTTACACGTGTATATACTGTATATTTTTTAAATAACGATAAAAAAATTATGTAAATTTACCAGCTATATGGACACTTTAATATCAATTGTAAATAATATGATGTATATCAATGAATTTTTTTTTATTTTAAATAACTATTGAATGTACATGACATTTGATATACATCTAAGTAAATAGCCTGTTAGCTCTATTATAATTTAAATTTAAAACTTTTTACATTTGTAATTTTTTCTTTACTAATTCATATAATTTTAATATTTTAAGTAATTTATTGTCTTTTTCTTTATTTATTGATTACAATTTGTTATTTATAAATTTTTTGCTGATAGTTATTAATATTTTTCCCCGGAATAAGAGTATACTGTAATTATGTTTTATTCGAATAAAAATTACTATTCTGATAAATGTAAGATTATTATATTTTTTTTCAAAAAAAAAGTACGTTGATTTCTGTTGATTAGTGATTACTGAAAAACAAAGGTTAACAACCAAATCATTAATTATTATTTATTATTAAGGTTAAATAAACGGTTACATATTACTGTTTTATATACTGCAGGGTGACTTTTGAATTTACAATTCTTATTTTCACAGTTAACGGTCCTGAATACCTGATAAATACAATTATTTTTCCAGTATTAGCTATTAACTTGGATTATGTTAGTATATTACATTATATTTTCTAAATATACCTAGGTATCGGCTATATTTAATTGACGACATATAGTTATTTATTAATAATAAATTATTATTATCCAGCAGAGTTTTAGTATAGCCAACTCCTTAACTGGATAGGATTAGGTATAAATATCGACATCAGCCATTTGGTTTAAATAATCAAGGAGATGTGTTTCATTAAGTAATAAATTGCTGTTCTCTGTTTCAATATCGATCTCCTGCATTGTTAATATTATTGAGTCAATTATAATAACATCCTCATTAATAGTAATCTTGCACTTTTGTTTCCTATATTTACAAACATTTAGCTTTAGCATCAAATTGTCAGCATAATAAAAAAAAAAATCCCTGATCAACTGAAAAATTATCTTTCCAGTTTAAGTATGGTTTCAATTATTTTAAAATATTAAATTTATTACCATACCAATTCTCAGTAAAAAATTAAAATGTATAAATATACTTTTTAAAATTGGATTATTTTTAATTCCATCATTGTAGCTAATGTAATATATATTATAATATATAATGCATAAGACTAGAAGTAGGTATACATATTTTTTAGGTACCTATATGACAAATTAATTAGTTGTTTTTTTTTTTTTATTGAACTTAAGCCCGGCGACTAAGCTTTTGTAGGGGTTATGAACTGTGGTAGGGGTAAGGTTGGTATGGTAGGCTGTTTATTTTTGTTGTATGATTGTTACTATTGTTAAGGTAGGGAGCAAACACTTGTATGTGTGGCAAGGTTTTTAACTACGCCTAG